GTCGTCCCTCAATTGAGTAATGAATATTGTATGGTTTTTAGTTTAGCAATTTAACTTAGTAAGGTCCTACCCTGAATAATATATTCATGTTTGGGAGAACACGAGAGAAGCTTGAAATCACTAGCCGAAGAGTCTAAGGCCCACGTATCCGGATATTTTTTATTATCAGTATTTTTTTTTCTCGCTTTTGGCCTACCGACCAAACGGCTCTTTCAGGCACCGGAAGAGTAGAGTTTTTTGAAAACGCCGGCTTATCGTTTTCGTGTGTACGGACAAAAACACAATGATGTCATAAGTCATACAAAGCATGCCCTATAAGAGAAGCTCTTTCGAAACTGGAGAAAAAAATCTCCATTTTCAAAAAATATCCTGATACGAGTGGAAGAGGCCTGAAGTTTTTCACTTTTTATCTATTAACCTTCAATGTAAACGCTAAATCTGCATATTGCTGTATTTCCATTGTTGTCACTAGCAGCAACCTGAACGTCATTTTCACCAATAGGAAATTCTTGAGATGAGGCTACATTTATCTTCGCATTGGGATCCACATTTGCAGAATTGTCTGTCACCTGGATATTCCATGATACCTTTCCTGTCGCTTTTCCTTTGGTTGTATGACCTCTTATGTCAGGACACGTTATCGTTGGGGGCTGATAATCTATAAATTAGACAAATTTAATTCGTAAATATATTTAGTTGAAAAAAAAGGCGTTTCTGCAAACAAAGGACAAAGTATGTGGCTAAAATGGATACTGAGTCCTAAATTCTCCACTTGACCAGTGTAAGTTGACAGCCTAGATTCTAAAAACAATTAACAGCATTGCTCAGAGTAGACGACAATCAGTACCTATTTTGACCTGTTTTTCTCAGTCATTTGAGGGAAACGCGCGAGATACGAAAATAAACACGCGCGTGACTGACTTCTCGGGCTTCCTTCTTTAGTTTCTAGCGTCTCGCTGCTTTGCCGCTTAACGCTCGCACGCGCGTGCACTACCCTCCCTAAATCTGAAGAAAAAGATAAACTGCCTCACAGTCTATACTTGCTCAAAGTTAATGGATAGTCACATGAACTAAAATAATCATGATCCTGATTTCATAAAAAAATGAAGTCTTTTATTGAAATTGACTAATTAGTGGTGCATGTCATTGCCCTGTGTTCTTTGAAGTGAAGTTCTGTTTGCTCACCTTTCCTTGTTTGAATCAAACTGGTGCCAGCGTTTATTGCATGAAATTTCTTTTTTTACAAAGTTTTAATTGTCCATGTTCATTTTTAGTTTGAAGCACCGGCTGGAAGTTTTAAATCCATTGATATCAAGCCCTTTTTTTCATATTTACAAGGGGGACCTATTTGTAAAACAGGTTGGGCTTCCACTATTTCTAGCATTTCTTACTGAACAAGCGAAAAAATTGATTATATAAGAAACCAAAAAAAGACGAAATTTTTACTTTTAAATTTCAAGCGCGGATAACTGATTTGAATAGTACTATCCAATTTTGGTATCCAGTGAATGTATGCTTTTCTCTGGATAGAGCGATTTTCGTATAACCTTGAAAAATGGTTTCGGAAATTGTTCGTTATCTGTTTTTAGTTTATCAGCCAATGGATGAAAAAATCAAAATATGGCTTCTTCGTTTTCCCGCCAAAGAAAATCCTAACATGGAGGAGGCATTGGTAGATTAGCCAATCGGGTTGCAGTATGACGTTAAAGCGAAGTATCTGTTGATTTCTAGAAAGTTCTCGGGCATGAGGTTTTTTCACCCGAGCGTTCGCTTTACCAACCAAAAGACATGCGCGTTTTTATCCGTTCGATAAACCAACCAAATCGCTCTACTTTCGATCGTTTGTCGTTTCTGTTTTGTTCTCTCGTTTTCATTTCAAGGTCATACGAAAATCCCTCTAATTTTGGCAAAAACCTCAAACAAAAAGCGGAAAACGCTTGCCATGGCATTGAGGAACTTGAGCGTCCCATTCGCCATTAAGTTGACACGTTAAAACTCTCGAAGCTATGTGGGGTGCAGTAACTTCCGTAGTAAAGCCATCTGGACATGAAAATGTGCAGGATGAGTAAAATCTCATTGACTGGTCGCCACAGATATTTGGAACCACTGTTGCGTACTTGACGGACGGAAGTTTAGGGCAGCGAATTTCTAAAAATGAAAACAAATAAAATAATTTGCTTGAAAGAATAAAGATTCGGCTGTCAGGACGTGAACAGATCGACGATAATGCCTCTGGTGGTGCTCATAGCAACGGTTTAAACATTTATGACAGTTCTTGATTAATATTAGATATGATTTATATACGTCGATTACCTTCACAGGTCGATGGAGTTCCAGACCATGTCTTGTCGTGTTGACAGACACGCACCTCAGAGCCTTTCAGCTGGTACCCAGCAAGGCATTTGAAGGAACAGTAGGTCTGGTAGCTTAAATCAGCACTGGAGCAAATACCAGTCGGAGGATCGGCGTTAGAGACGAAAAGCGCAGGACACGAAATAGC